CACTTAATAACTAACCAAAATTCTGCGGTAACATTATAGCCACTTGATTTAGGGATTTGGTTAGTTATTAAATTTCATTTTTTTTTCTTGGTTAATAAACAAATTAACCCATATTGTAACTATATGAAATAATAATTGAATAAATTATATACTGGAATTTAACTTTTGACACACCAGCATTTGAGAGGATAACAGCACATATGCTAACATTTTTGTTTAATCAATTAAATTCCGTCATTTGCCTGCCTCTTAATGGAAATGTTACTGACTTTGGTTACAATTTATGTTTGTTTTCAACTTGTTTTGCGAGGACCAAACTTAGTTTCTGTCATATAAACTTAGTTTCAAGCACATAGTTTGAGGTGGGAGTTTGAATCCTTCATTTTATTTTTGTATTATTGTGACAATTTACGACTACGACTTATTCGGCCGCAAAATTATGACGAAGCAACTACAAACTTGTGACAAATTAAAATCTCTATACTATTAAAACAGAAATCATTTAGAGTAAATGTCCAAAATCTTATCTAATATTACTGAAATTGCCATTAGTTTAAAACTATAGAAATTCAATTGAAATGGGTAATTTTGAAATTTTTCAGTGGTAATTTCAGTAATTTTAAGATCAATTTCAGACATTTTTTAAACTGAATTCGGGTCAGACACGCGGATCTAATTGATGACCCGGTGAGAATACCCGTTTCATTAATGGCACAGTGCTAATTTTTGTGACAAACAAATCTGAAGGAGAAAAAAACATGGTTCAAGTGTTCTTCTTCTAGGGTTCGAATCGATTCTCTCTTTCTCTCCATCTCAATCGATGTAAGTTTAATCAATCTGATTTAAAACAAAATTGAGAAGAACAAAAATCGGATTATCGGAAATCGGTCAGATTTGATTTTCGGTGACTGTCGTTTCGATGTTCCGATCACAGTGAAAGAAAATGGAGTCTTCGATTATTTGTTCTGAAGTAATAAACTCATCGTTAGCTTTGCGATTCTGTACAGTGAGTTTTCTCGATCATCAGTTTCTTCTTATTGTCGTTTTTATTAGGGATCTTTGTAATTTTCATCGGTGAATTGTGGGT